CTCTTCTCTCCTCAGAAAAGACAAAATTCTTTTCATCAAGAAATTCTCAGAATCTCGACGTATTCTTTCATCAAATTTCTCTGAAAACAATTTTTAGGAAAATCAAACAATTCCTATAAATTACTCATGCACCAGGACTGTCAAGCAAAATATGATAAAAGTGATCCAAAGTAAAAATCTACATTCTCCACCTGGATGTGTCCACACACTTTGCCTTTTTTTTTTTTAATTACTAAACACCCCATAATCCTAGACACAGATATCCTCTCCTGTAGAACATAAATACCCTCTTTCACCTACTTAAAAATACTGCTCCCTCTCTCCTACATCATTAACTCTTCCATTTCATTGGATTTCTCATTAGTACAACAACATAACACTGGTTTTTAAAACTTTATTATTATTTTTTTATTTGTTCTACTTAGTTGTACATGACAACAGAATGCATTTCAATTCATCATACACAAATGGAGCACAACACTTCAATTCTCTGGTTGTACACAATGTAGAGATGCACAATTCATGCAATCATTTGTGTACCTATAGTAATGATGTCCATTTCATTCCATCATCTTTCCTACCCCCATAACCCCTTCCCACCCTCTCCTTTACCCATTCCAAAGTTCCTCAATTTTTCCTAAGCCCTCCATTATAGATCAGCACCCACTAATGAGAGAAAACACTTGGCCTTTACTCTTTGGGGATTGGCTTACTTCACTTAGCATAATATTCTCCAACTCCATCCATTAACCTTCAAATGCCATGATTTTATTCTCTTTTAATGCTGAGTAATATTCCATTGTGTATATACACCTTAGATTCTCTATCCATTCATCTACTGATGGGCATCTACGTTGGTTCCACAGTTTAGATATTGTGAATTCAACAACTATAAACACTGGTGTGGCTATGTCACTATAGTATGCTGATTTTAAGTCCTTTGTAGAGTGGGATAGTTGGATCAAATTGTGGTTCCATTCCAACTTTCTGAGGAATCTCTACACTAGTTTCCAAAGTGATTGCACCAATTTGCAGTTCTTCCAGCAATGTATGAGTGTACCTTTCTCCCCACACCCTCTTGGAAGCATTCCATCTAAAAGCAGGAAAAAGACAGGGATGCCTTCTTTCACAACTTCTATTCAACATACTCCTTAAAACTCTAGCTCTAGCAATTAGACAGACAAAAGAAATTAAAGGGATACACATAGGAAAAGAAGAACTCACACTATCAATATTTGCCAAGGACATGATTCCATATTTGGAAGATCCAAAAAATTCCACCAAAAAGCTTCTAGAAATAATAAATGAATTCAGCAAAATAGCATGATATAAAATCAATACCCAGAAATCAAATGCATTTCAATACATAAGTGATAAATCCATGAAAGAAAAATTAGGAAAACTACCCCATTCAAACTAGCCTCAAAAATATAAAATACTTGAGAATCAATCAAACAAAAGGGTGAAAGACTTCTGCAATGAAAACTACAGAACACTAAAGAAAGAAATTGAAGAAGACCTTAGAAGATGAAAAGATCTCCCATGCTCTTGGATAGGCAGAATTAATATTGTCAAAATGGCCATACTACCAAAACTGTTATACAGATTTAATGCGATTCCTATTAAAATCCGAATGACATTCTTCATAGAATTAGAAAAAGCAATCATAAAATTCATTTGGAAAAATAAGAGACCCAGAATAGCCAAAGCAATCCTTAGCAAGAAAAGTGAAGCAGGAGGCATCACAATACCAGAAGTTTTACTACAGAGCAACAGTAACAAAAACAGCATGGTATGGCACCAAAATAGACATGTAGACCAATGTTACAGAATAGAAGACACAGAGACCAAACCACATAAATACAGTTATCTCAATCTAGATAAAGATGCCAAAAACATACATTGGAAAAGGATAGCCTCTTCAACAAATGGTGCTGGGAAAACTGGAAATCCATATGTAACAAAATGAAATTAAACCTCTATCTGTTACTATGCACAAAACTCAACTCAAAGTGGATCAAGGACCTAAGAATTAGACAAGAGACCCTGCATCTAATAGAAGAAAAAGCAGGCCCAAATCTTCATCATGTTGGATTAGGCCCTGATTTCCTTAACAAGACTCCTAAAGTGCAAGAAATAAAATCAAGAATCAAAAAATGGGATGGATTCCAACTAAAAAGCTTCTTCTCAGCAAAAGAAACAATCATTGATGTGAGGAGAACCTACAGTATTTAAGCAAATTTTTACCACACACACATCAGAGCACTAATCTCCAGGATACATAAAGAACTCAAAAACCTTAATAAAAAAAAAACAATCAATAAATGGGCTAAGGAACTTAACAGACACTTCTAAGAAGATATACAAGCAATCAACAAATGTATGAAAAAGTTTTCAACATCTTTAGTAATTAGAGAAAAGCAAATCATAACACTGTTTTGTATATCTTTAAAACTTTTTTTCCCACAAAAACCTTGAATTCATGCATACTATCGTCCTCTACAATTTCTCTCCTTCTACTTGGTCACACACATTACAAACAAGCTTTCACTCCTATCATTCCATGAAAACTGCTATCATTAAGGTCATCAATAATTTCCTTTGCTAAATCCACTCTCAATCCTCATCTTTAAAAACAGCACACCAGCCCCCTACTTCCAAATACATCCTTATTGATTTCCAGGATTCCACACTCTTGCTTTTCCTCTTACCTCACATACAGTTCTTGTTTAGATTCCCTTTACTGGTTCTGCTTCATCTCGTAATGTTGAAGTACACCAAGGCTCAGTCCTTAGTCCTCTTCAAATTTTTAAACCCACAGGCTTTTGATGAATTCATCTAATCTTTTCACTTTTATAATAATCTATCCAATAAAGAACCCTAATTGTATATTGTTAGCCTGTCCTTCCAACTAACTGCCTTCTGGACATCTCCACTTGAATATTTAAAACATGACTAACACTTAACGCACCATGATCCAAATTCTTAATCCCATGAAATTTTCCTCCTGCATCTTGTCCATTCCAGTTAATTAAAATCTGTCTGTTCAATTATTCAGGCAATTAAGTTTTCCTTAATTTATTTTGCTCTCACACTTTATACCAAATCCATCAGCAAATTTTGCACAAAAATAGGTATCTTATACTCTCGAAACATATCCAGAATCTGAATTTTCACCACCTCCACTATCATCCAAGTATAACCCACCATCATCTGTCACATGGATTATTATAATAATCTAATGGTGTCCCTGCTTCTCTTTATTTGCTAGTCTGTGTGTCTAGAAAGCTCTTTTCCCCATAAGATTATGGCTCACTCCCTCACCTGCTTTAAGTCTACTGAAATGTCACTTTCTTCTAAGGAATCACCTCAAAATTGTATTCAAATTTCTAAACACACACAAAAAATTTTTTCCTTGCTTTATGTTCGCCAAAGTTCTTATGATAGTATCACTTCATATTTTCATTATTTATTTTATATAGTATCTCCCTCCTCTAGGATACATATTTCAAGAAGGCAGAAATTTGTTCTTCACTTTATTCAGAGTTAAGAACAGTGTATGGCATGTCGTATGCACTGGATGTTTGTTAAGTGAATAAATAAGCCTTAAATTCTCTATGAGAATCTGATAACGATTTATGTAAGCAACTAATAATTCATTTCACTCTTGTTGGTTCTGTAATAAAAGTTGAAAATGTTTTTTATGTGGTCTCTGAAATACATTAGTTCAACCTTATCAAGAAGAGTTACTATCATATTTCGCAGGAATTTTGAGATCAGGGATTATGGACTGTAAAGGAGAAAAGTCCTTGAACAGTTTAACACTTTCATCTTAAACTGGTACTAAAAGAACCTCTTTGAACATTAAGAATGTTTAAAGGAGAAAGAGAAGAAATGGGGACAATCCTATTCAATTGCCAGTTTAAAACCCAACCCTTTCTTTAACCCCTCCCTATTCTCCCAGTGCTCATAAGTGTTCCTTCTCCTGGATATAGAATCTGTGGAGGAGAGAACAGTCTTTTCTTTTAAATCTGTCACTAATTAGCTCTTGACAGACAAAAGCGCAGCTACTGAATTGTGCTGACCAGAGTAAATACTACAGTAACTTATTGATAACTGCAACAGAAACTACATCTTTACCTAGGTTTCTAAGATGGTTTCAAACAAATCCATCTTCTCTGTGTTCTGCAAGGCTAACTTCAACCCAGTAACTTTGTGTACAGTTGACTACAGTCCTCAGGATGCAAAGACCAATTATTTAAAAAGAGAAATGCAAAAGATACTATACTACGTGTATTTGGTATTCTAACAGTGCGGGACAAAAGAACACAAGATACTACTAAAAGATAAGCTACCCAATAAAAAGGAAAAAGGAAAGATGGGGAAGGGGGAAGGCGAGTTATGGAACAATGAAACCATAGGGCAACTGTAGTAAGCAGACACTGGGATAAAAGCAGCGTAGGTTCTAATCACAGGCTGCTGTTTTCAGAGCTTCTCATAAACTTCCTTGAAAAGCCGTCCTGCGCGTCCTCTGGAGCTGCATTCCACCCGCGGGGGCGGCAGTCGGAGCGAGCCTTCCTAAAGCGCGGGTCTGCAGCGCTGGAGTGTTTACCTGCGTCCCGCTAGGGAGCCGCATCTGGCAGCCCCGCGGCGCGGAGCGCGTGCATGTGTGGATGTCAGAGGCCAGCACTCGGAAGCTACAGGGCTCGGCTCTGAAGACAGCCAGCTTCGGATGGTGGGCGGGGGCCTCCCCTGGGCCCCGGGACTGCAGAGCCAGGTGCCCAGCGCGCCACCCCACGGGGTCGCTCGCGCCCCGCGGTTGCCCTGGCCCCCACGGCCCCGTTACTTCTCGCCGGATCGGCGCCCGGGACCCAAGTAGCTAGCCCAAGCGGGAGGGAGAGGAGAGGAGCGGAGCGGTGGAGGGCTCGGCTGAGGCCGCGCCGCCTCAGAGTGCCGCGCTGGCTTTGACAAAACTTTGGAAAGAGAAGGACTCCGATTACCTGAGCGGCGCGGGCGCGGGCTCGTCTGCGGTACGGCTGCCGGGCCGGGCGGGTTTGCAGCAGCCGTAAAGCGGGAGCAACGGGCGCGAGCCGGGGCGCGAGCCCTCGTCCACGAGCGGCAAGCCCGGGCGCCTCCGCCGTGAGCGTCAGCCGCTTGGCCGAGAGAGCGGGCCGAGTGGGGCTGAGTCATAATAAAAGACACGTTTGCCGAGCCAAGTGGGAAGAGGGGCCTCGGGGAATTGGGTTAAGTGGCAAGAGGGTCAAAAATGGCGAAGGCATGTTTTAAAAAGTGGTCAGAACTGGAAGCTTGCCCCCATGGTGTCTCATCAAAGATAGGGGTTTCCTTTGTAATGTGCATACAGTTTGCAAATATTCTTTGTATCGAAAAAAAAAGTTTCTTTTCTTAAATGCATTGCTTTCGGGGCTGAATTCCGGGTATATCTTTGTCGCTTACGCAGGTTACTTGAAATTTGGGTATTTGTTTCTTGAAAATTTCTTATTTTTAAACGGAGGAGGGAGATAGTGAAGAGAAGCTTAAGTTTATAATTTTAAAAGAAGTCCTACAATGAAGCAAGGATTTTTTTTTTTCCACATCGCTTGATTTAGATAGATATCATAATGGAAGAGAAGATATTGGAGGCTCCCAAGTAACAAATGAGACTGAGATGTAACTGAGGTGGAAAAAAGGGAGGGAAGGAGGAAGTGGAGGCTGGGGAAGAAGGATAAAAGAATAAACTAGGCTCAGTTCAAAGCGGGAAGAGGAGAGAAGAAGAGAGGGAGGAAGGAAGGGGGGGAAGAAAGGAAGAGAGGGAGTTTAGAGATGAGAATATAACTGCTCAGTATCAGTAGCTTAAGAACAGAGGAATATGTTTACTCGCTGTTTAGAAATTCATGACAAACTCCATTCACTGAGGGAGATTTTTTAAGTATGTAAACAGATAAACAACTGTCTAAAAATGAGCCCCAAATGAGAAGCCTTTGCTCCAATGAATGAGATTTGGCAGTTCTGCAAAATGAGAAAATTCTTCCTTCTGCTACATCTTGAGGGGTTGAGTCATCAAACACATAGCAGAGATTAGTGGGCTGGATTCCTGAAAGGCACACCAGATGGATACATTCTGGTTAGTTTTAATAACTGTGTGATGTTGCCTTCTGTAGTTCTGTCAATTTTAGAGGAAGGGAGTCTGAATAAGGATTTGAGAAGTGAACTTGAGAATAAAAGTCAAACTTGTTACTTATAATATATGAGTTTCCACCCACCATGAGCTTACAGTTAAAGATTCCAAAACACGTCGCCATTTCTCCCACTTTTCTCTCCTCTGTTTCTGCTTTCACTGTATTTCTTTTTAATCTACTTTATTACATTATTTTTTACAGTGGAACAGCCTAAGGAAAAGGTGGTTTTAATTAATATGATGGAATGAAAGGAATTTTTGCTGGGCCTCTCTAGGGTAAAACTTTTTGAAAATGGGTTTTTAGCTAGAATTTTAATGAGAATGAGAACTTGACAAATGTAAAATTAGAAGACATTTAGACAAATAAGAAAACAGACTGGAGTGAAAGGGAAAGGGGGTAGAGATTAGAAACAGTCCTATTTCCTAATTACTATAAGAACCAAAGACTATCAGACAGAAGTGAGTGCCTGCCTCCACCACCTAGCCCTTCAAATTAAAAGAAAAGAAAGAAAATGAAGGGAGGGGAGGGTATCTCAATGGAAAATTTTAAATAATTTACATCTCTCTAAGGGGTTCCTGCAGGGCAAAGTCTTAAAGGGCACCTCTTTCTGCACCTTTTGAGGTGATAATTTTTTGCAGGTGGGAAGATAAGAATCCCATTTTGTTTCAATTTTGCTAAACCGTCAGACTGGGGCTAACAGATTGTCATTGAACCTTTATTAATGTGAAACAAGGAGATAAGTTCTTAAATGGAAGGAACCCCTTAACTGAAAAGGAGGAGAACACAAAATGGAGTTTCACAAAACAGAAAAAGAGTTTTGGATGCTTTTCTGAAGAAAACAATAATATATGTAGAAAGTAAAAATAGCAAAATCCTTGAATAAATGAAATTTAATTACTACTTAATGTAAACTTGATATTCTGTTGAAATTTTCAATTTTACTGTAAAATGAATATATTTCATTTACTATAAACAAATAGTCAACACAAACTAAAGCTAGGAATCAAGAAGATCTGTTTAGATCAAACAAAAACTCATGTTACCTGAACAGTTTTTAGTTTAAGAAGAAAATTCCAGTTATCTTAAGTGGAAAATAAAAACTTACCACCTGATTTTGTATACCTATTGAACACTCTATCACCTGAATCTCTTTGGGGGAACTTTAGCATTCTGTAAACTGAACCTTGACTCTAGATTTGAGCCATATCTCTAGCCCTTATTTATATTTTGTTAGACACAGCGTCTTGCTGAGTTGCTCAGGGCCTTGCAAAGTTGCTGAGGTTGGGTTTGAACTCTAAATCCTCCTGCCTTAGCCTCCTTAGTCGCACATGATTACACTCATGTGCCACTGCACTGGGCTTGACTCCAGGATTTTTGAGCATGCAGTGAATTTTGACTTATACATGTTGCTTTTAGAGCTCTTAAATCCATCATTAATTAATGTTAATATTTAAAGCATAAAATGATGGGCTTTGAAAGGTGTGTTGTAGATCTTTATTCTGTCAATTTGCTAATCTACAAGCTCCTTTTTTACTTATACAACTGAATTTAAACAATATGCTGATCTGATTTCATTTAACACTTCAAAGAAGATTATATTGGAAAACAGTTGTTTAGATTTCCAAAGAGCATATTTTTTTTTAATTTAAAACCTCAATGTGGCAAAGATTCCCTGCCACATTCCTTAACACTTAGTTACATTACCTGTTGCTAATTCACTCAGTAGAAAGAAGCAATAGTCTAGCCAAATAGCCTCAGCATATTTATAGTTTTGGAAATAAATTTCAGGAATGCTACTGAAGACTATATGGAAGCTGAAGTGTGGTTGTCAAGCCAAATGTGAGTTTACAAGATTGTTAGAAAGGACAGTCTTAAAGATGTAGTTTAAACCCAGTTCCTCACACATGCTAGTCAAGCACTCTACCTCTAAGCTGCATCACCAGCCTTAGACTATTGTGATTATTTTTGTTCTCTGTCAACAACAAATGTACTTATGGAATCTGTTGTATATATCTTAAAAGAAGTCTACTTGACACTTATTCAAAGGCACAATACTTTCACTTTTTAGACATTTAAGATAGGTTTAAGAATGATCACTTTATGGTTTTAAAATATCAAGTAATTTAAATTAAAAAATTTTATTACAATAATTTTATTGTAAATTTTTTGAAAACTCTTTTTCAACTTTTTATTATGATGAAATGCATATAATATTTACTATTTATTTTTTAAATATACAATTTTATGATGTTAAATACATTCATAATTATTTTACATACATCATCACCACCTATCTCCAGAACTCTTTTCATCTTATAAAATGAAATTCTGTATTCAGTAAACAACTCTCCATTCTGTTCCCCTAGTCCCTGGCAATCATCATTCTACTCTCTATCTCTAAGAACCAGTCTAAGTAAAATCACAGTATTTATCTTTCACTTTCTGCCTTAATTTACTTTGCGTGTTGTAGCTTGTGTCAGAATTCCCTTCTTTTATAGAGTTGAATAATATTCCACATTATATACCACATTTTGCTTATCTGTTCATCACTCAATAGACATTAGATTGCTTCTGTTTCAGTTATTATGAATAAGGTGCTGTGAACATTAATAAATGAATGTTTCTGAAACCCTGTTGAGTCATTCTTACAAGTTAATTGAACCCAAGGAGGGAGTTATAAGAACCCTAATTTATAGCAGGTTGCTCAATAGCACAGATTACGATGTGTGCTTGTGATTGACATCTGGAATGAGGGGCAATCATGTGTGACTGAGCCATCAACCTAGGGGATCTGACTCCATCTCAGGTAGATAGTTGCAAATTTGAGTTCAATTATCAGTCACCCTGTTGGTGTCTGCTGCAGAATTGATTGCTTGCTTGATGTGTGGAGAGAAATTCCCACATATCTTGGTGAACAGATTTGAAGTATTCTGTGTTCTATTGAGTTATGAGCAAAAACCACATTTTTTTTTCTGATCTTATACTGATATAGACTCCTTAGCAGTTACAGATCTATTCAGATTTTCTTTTTTATCATGGTTTAATCTGCATAGGTTTTATGTCTCTTCCTAGACATAATCCACTAAATCCACTTCCTCTAGGTTATCCAATTTGTTGACATACAGTTATTAATAATACCCCCTTATGATTCTTTTTATTTCTGTAAAAACAATACTAATGTTTCAATTTTCATTTCTCACTTGGTAATTTGAGTGTACTTTTTATTTTATGTTCATCATGTTTGAGTTTTCTCAATTTTGTTGATCTTCAAAGAATCAACTGTGGTTTTCTCTATTATTTTCTCTATTATTTTTCTTTTCTCTATTTGTTGATCTGTATTCTAATCTTTATTATTTCCTTTTATTGTTAGCTTTGAATAGTTTGTTTCAGTTTCTTAATTTGCAAAGCAAGTTGTTGAATTAAGATCTTTCTTGTTTTTTTATGTAAGCATTTATACATATAAATTTCCTTATAAAGGTTTGTTTTCATTGTATCCCAAGAGTTTTATAATGTATTTTCCTTTTCACTCGTCCTTAAGTTTTTCTAATTTCCTTTGTGATTTCTTGGGGTCTTTGATTTTTTAAGAATATATTTAATTTCCAAGTATTTGTAAATTTTCCCATTTTAATTCTGTTCTTGATTTCTAACTTCATCCTGTTGTTGTTGGAAAAGGTATTTTGTCCTACCTTATCTTTTAAAGTCCATTGAGAATTTGTGTCCTAATATATGATTTTACCTAAAGAACTATTCCATGTGCACTTGAAAAGAGAGTGTATTCTGGTGTTGCTGGATGGAGTGTTATGTACCTGCCTTTTAGATCAGTTTGTAATGCTAAGTCTCCATTCCCTTATGCCATGGAGTTGTACTATCTATTATGGAGAGTTGGGGTATTAAAGTCTCCAACTCTTATTGTAGAACTGTTTCTCCCTTCAATTCTGTTATTTTTTGCTCTATTTGCTAATCATTTTTGGTGTGTAAATTTTTGTCACTGTCATATCTTATTATATTTAACTTTTAATATATAATGTACTTCTTTGTCTTTTAAACATATTTGGCTAAAGTCCATCTTGTCTAGTATTAGTAGAGCCACCTTGTTCTCTTTTGGTTTCCATGAAAGACTTTTATCTCTTTTCATTTTTATTTTTTA